TTTCAGCGTCATTTTCTTGTAATATGATTGTAGCGGTTTGCTTATTGCCATAGGTTAGTCGAAGCGCTCTCACTTGAAACTCTCCCGTTTTATTTTGAATAATCTTTGAAATTACTTCACAAATTTCATCCTCGATCACCACCTCATCCATTCCCCTAACTTGGATAGTCTTGTTGTTTTTGAGTTGATAAGTCGTAGCTTCCGGTCCTTTTTCTTCCAGTTTCTTTTTAAGTGATTCAGCTTTGCTCCATCTATTCTGAACTGTTAGGATGACTTCATTTTTTATACTCTTCCTGATTTGCCTGATTTCAGCACCCACTTCGTTAGGTTCGACTGTCTTTTATTTTTCTAAGCAGGTCAGCGTATGATTTTTCTTCCATACGTACCAATAAGGCATCCTGTCTGGGTTTTCTTGTCTGCTGGTTCTGTACATTACTTGTTTGGGTGTTACTCATACATTGTTTTTCCATCGTGTCTGCTTTGTTCTTGCCTATTCGCTGTTCTGGTCTTGAGATAACTGGTTTGATATCTGAGTCTGTGAACAAAAAGGCCAACATACGATTTATTACGAGTCCAAGGAGACCATCTGTCTCAGGAATGATGAGCTTGTTTAGGTTCTGTCTTGATGAGTGTTCCTTTATATTCGATAGAGAATGAAAAAGTAGCTTGCCTGATTTATTATTTGCTACAATGTCTTGCTCAATAATTGGGTAATACACCCATCTCGTTGTCTGGTTGAGATTACCATCATTATCTGGGAGTTCCAGTGACTGACGCATCATAGATATTTCACCGTACTTTTTGTTCTGGTGGACCAATCCCTCTCTGCCTCCAAACTTATGATTCCATTTATATTTTTATCCTTGGACTCTATGTTGCTGGTACACAGCAAGATAATACCAAATTCATTTGGAGCATCCGTGGTCTGTACATTTTCGGTGCATGGATTAATGAATATGCCAGTGTTCCAATCTTCTTCAGGGACAGCACAAAAAGTCTTCATATGTCCCGTCTTTCCTCAGTTTTTTTTCTTGATCTCATTTTTTCCTCTTTCTCTCACAGTTTTCGCATTTCACGTCAGAAATATAGTATTCCACATGCATTTTCTGTTTCTCTTCCATGGTTTTAATCTGTTTTCGTAGTTTCTCGTTTTCCATCAGTAGCTTCTGATATGGGTGAGAGGCATTGTCAGTATCGCCTAACCAATCTCTAGGACACATAGTTTCCAGATTTTTTACGTGAAAGCTCAGACTGCTCGTTTTTGGCTTGTAGATTTGTTTTAGAACTTGCTCTAATGACTTCACTTGGCTTGTAATCTGCCTCAGCACTTCCATCACCTTATGGGAATCACTTTTTATACTATGATCTGTAGTGATTCCTACTCTTTTTCTTTTTCCCAATTTTTCTTCCACATCTGAAAGTGAAACTGTTCTTGGTCTAGGAGGTGTCCTAGCTAAAACGTTTTTTATTCTAAAAAGGTTCTCCTTATCATCGAGTGACCCTTCTCCAACTTTAGGCACCAAGCTTTTCATTCATTTGATTTCCACGAGGTGGGTCGGTCATAATGTCCTGCATGGCAGGAATATCAGTATTTTTGTTTTTATGTGTATTAATCTCCATTTAATTCCAACGAGTAGGGCAGAAGTAAGTCAGTCACAGCAGTGCTCCCGTACTGTGACAAGTTCTATATCACTACCGGAAGCGACTAGATATCCGGCAGGCATCGTTTGTGGCACGGTCACGGGCGAACCATTCATCCTCTAGGCACGATAGGCTTACACCATAGGATTCCTGGATTATTTTATCGAGGTTTACTCCTCTTTCTGGTCATAGCTACCTGCCAAGCAAGTCTGATATTTAAATCAATATAGGTAATTATACCGAGCTGTTAAACAATCCAAATGAGTGTCAAAATAAAACAATTTAATAACAAATATGATGGTATTGGATTGTCTGCAAAAAGTTCGTCATAAAGTTTTACAATCGGAGCAATTAAATACGTGTGTGAGAGAGAGAGAGACTAATTGCGTCAGAAGTCAGTGTGATAGAAGAGGATACAACATAGCCGTTGTGCGGGACGTATTCATTAGATGCACCCGGGTGCACAAAATTGAAAAATCAGAAGTTTGGCTAGCCAGTTCAGCGAACAAGAAGAAAAATACTCAATACCATGATTGCATCAATTATACAGATTTATTTAAAAAATTAGGAACCTACCAGCATTCCACTCGTTTACTGGTTGTAACTATATGGCAGTTTTCCACCTGAAAGCTAAGTGTTAGTACCTTACAAACAACTCTATAAAAATAAAAGGTTCAAAATGCTTTTGCATTATTACTTGACGAAGCTGATATTTTCATAACTGAAGAAATGAATGCTGTTCAGTAGTTTATATCTTATTTTCCAGATAAGTTACTTCTTAGAATAAGACACTAAACAATTATTAAAAAAGTTAAGAGTTTCGACTCATGCCACTGTATTGGTCATCTTTAATGCAGAACATTTTGCAAACTATATACATTAATTCAATGTGGCATCACGCAATCAATCCAAATTGCATTAAATTGTGGCTGGGTTTTAGAAAATAATTATTTGAAACTAATTGGATTTGTTGGAGAACAAACTCTGCTGAAGATAGATTATATTGTGTAGGTAGAATCAGGTGATTTAAATTATGAATGAAGCTTATGAATTTTATAAATTAACTTCAAATAAATTATATAACTTCACTTCTAATAAATCTGTATGTCTAGTTTAAATGTATTTATTCATTTGTTCATTAACTGATAAAATTTCAAAAAAAAATGTTTCATCTGGTTATCAGATGAGTGTAAATTGATCTCTTACCGGCTCTTAGACTATTATGATTACCTTTTATTAGAGAATTGGAATCATGATTATTTGGTTTTTGTTGTAAATACCATAAAAAATATCTTGATCAAATTCACCAGCAATCCGTTGATCCCAAACTGAAGAAAATCAGTTACGCAAATGTTTGCCTTAGTCACAGTATCTCTATCACATATCGCTATCATCAGCATTCATAATACTATTTGAGTACTTAGGTACTTGAATAGTACTGATGAGTGCTGATTTCTCAGTGAGTACATATACAGCTTCAAAAAAATCATGTACTACATTGTGGAAAATTCAACGCAATGAAAACAAACCCCCTGTTCATTGGTTCAATTACTCCTTTTAAGTCATGCGAGTTACCTTAGTGAACCTCAGATTTATAGAAGACACTTCTAATGATGCTATGTATATGTCATTATATCACTTATTAGAGAAAGAATACCAAAAAATTTTAGCACTATGACTCACAAAAACTACATCACTTCTTCAGACAATAAATTAAAAGTCAATCAGAATTTAGTCAACTTTGAATGTAATAGGAATTGATTTCTTCCTTTTTTGGAAGATTTCCACATTTTTTGTGTGAAGATGAAGAGATAGAAAACTAAAACCTTTCTTTCCCAAAAAATAAAATCACCACTGTAGTACTAAAATTTCCACTGAAGAATTCAATAATTTTTTTGTCAATGTGGCTGAAAGTATCATACCTAACTGTGCAGAAGGTATGTTTCTCAAATTTGTCATTCTCCACCGCCTTCATCGTCTTTTTTATACTACCAGTAATTGAGCAAGATGTTCTTGATTCTGTCCATGAAAAATAACAATAGTTTGGATGCATTTGGTATAGACAGTGGAATTATTAAAAAAAAATATATGCATTATTCCTGGACCACTCATTAATTTAGTAAAGTTAAAATTTAAGTACAACAAGTTATCAGTATGTATTTTTCGTAAAAGATTCATCTAATTCATTTAGAATCTCTTGAAAAACATTTTCCCAACACCAGAACAAAAATTATACGGTCTCTCGACGCTTGTTTCGCTAACCAAGTTAGCGTCCTCAAGAGATCATTGTGACTCATAATGATCAGTCATAATTATCTCCTGAGAACGCTAACTTGGTTAGCGAAACGCACGTCGAGAAAGTAATTTTTGTTCTGGTGTTGGGAAAGTGTTTTTCAATAGATTCATTTTATGCCAGAGGTTCCAGTACGAACTATCTAATTAATTTAGTATTGAAACTGCATTTTCGATCCCATGAAAATAAAAAATGTTCTGCATAGAGCAGAGCAGAAATTATTTCATGGCAGCTTTCATTTGGCAAGTTTAAAATTGAATAACTCGACATTGGCATGTTAATCAAGTTATTACAAATGTCTACATATTTTATAATGTGCATACTATTATTGTTAAAAAATGAAATGCTTATTTGTAAGAAAAAAAATAGAATCCTATTTACTCAAGTACCTACTCAACCAACAAGATAAAGTGCAAAAATGGGAACAATTAACCACAGCAGAAACAAACTTTCATGGTTGACAATCACCAAAGCAACAAGAACATAAGAACTTGAAGTCAATGCGTTCTACCATTTCATAAAGAACATTAAAGTGATTGATGCCTTACCAAAAAGGTTTAATGAAATTTGCTCAAAAACTGCACCTATGGAATAAGTGAAAATATTAAGGTCATTACCCCACTGCAGCCATACAAATATATTGGAATAATTTAATATTGACTGAATGTAAGGATAATAAAATAAATCTAGAACACAACTTCATGTAATGTGAAAGTATTTTTGGCCACCAAACAGACTGATTATCTTCAATTTTAATTATATAACCTACCAAAACAATAAAAAACATAGATTGTGAAATATGTTAGTTGATTAATTAATGTTCTTTTATTTCCATTGTCTATAAGCAATGGATGAAATGATGAAGAGCATGTTATTGCTGGTAACAAATCACTAATTCTTTTCTTTTTCTCCCTATCCCCACCTTGTTCCACTATTTTTCATCAATTTAAAATTAATATAATCAATTTTAAATAAATACCTTTGATTTTTTGTTCACCCTTTTTTTTATTATCCTGTGTTGAAATTTTCCGTTTTTTTTTTCTGTTAGTCCTGAATTCTCTTACAGGGCAGGTTTGGGTGTGGTTCCGGAGGGTACTGCTAGTGTTTCTAGTCCAGGAGCTACAGCCGGATCAGGATCTAGTTCTGGAAGTGCTCCCAACAGACCATTACCCCCAACGCCAGATGACGATGAATCTCAAGGAGACAGAACTCTTGTTCTCAGGAAGGTAAGCTTTTGGAATTGTTCTTTTGAAAATGTGGAACTTTGGCTTTTCTTGTAATATATTTTTCATTCAGTGTCTTTTTTGATGAGAGAGGTTTTTTTGTTGTCTTGAAACACTCACACTTTTTGCCATTTAAGACAACAAAAATAAAGATTTCTAGCTTATCTAAAAAAAAAAAGAGAGAAAGTGGTGTTCCATGTTTTTTTTTACCATAATTGTATTACTTGTAACTCTCAAAACGAAACATTCTACCATGGTTCAAAATAGTGATATTTATTGGTTACAAAATACATCAAAGCAGTCTTGATACTATTTATTCTACCTGACAAGGCCATAATGAAAAATATCTAAAACGAGTTGTGGCATTTGTCCTGTGATTTTTTTATTTGCTTGTATGAGATCAATTGAGTGTATGTACTCCAAAGTAGTGCAATAAAAAACTTTGGTTTTGTTTTTTTGGGTTTTTTATCTTGACATTGTGTTGTCAAGTTTTCTCTTTTGACATTGAAGTTTTTACTTTTAATGATAATTTCAGTTTGATCCTTTCTTGTGGCCCATTATTTTAGGCAGAATTGTCATTTCCTTTATCTTTTTAATTTCTCAGAAAATCGGTTCTGTAATGATTCCCGAAATACATCATTTGTTTCCTTTGCAATTGCAAAGGAAATACTGTTTTTTTCACCAATCTTTTAACTTGTCTGTGTTTTTGGCTAAGATCTTCCACAACAATATGGTAAAAAAGTTAGTAGAAAATGTATCCAAGTATATGAATGGCCTGAAGTTGAATAAATAAATTATTAATCATAAAAAATATTATCAACTGCAAGATGATAATCCAAAAGACCAGTTTGTGTGTTGGTGATATGCATAAATGTGTCAAGGAGTTAGCCTAAAAGTTAACTCCTTGAACTTGAAAAATTTTATAATGTTGTTGATTTTATAGACAGATACATAGATAAAGAATATTACTGGAGTTTTTTTCCAACACCAAACTGTTATTTTAACACCTCGACACGTGTTTCGATCACAAAGTGATCAAATCAAAATATACTTTATTGTCCGAATATTTGCATCTTATTGACAAAGTCCAAGGTATACAATATTAATATAGAAAAAGTACTAAAAAAGTATAAATGTAGATATAAAAATGTATTAATTTAAATATAAAAAAGTTCTAAAAATGTATAAATAAAATACCAGCATATATAAAGTGATAGTACAAAAAATGAATTGCTAACATTTTGCTGATATATTGTTAGAAGGATTCGCTAAAATACTCTTCCAAACAATAGGGTCTATCAACAAGTAGGTTCTTCACCGACCTTTTTGAAATGAATTTTGCTTAGATTTGCAGATCTCATTTCTAATGGTAAGTTATTGAACAACTTAACACCATTATAGTATAATATGGAATCCTTGATTAAATTCGAAGTTGGGATGGAACGTCTAAAGATATAATTGCTATTACGAGTAGCATGAAGCAAAATTGAACTTCGATTTATGTTTATTAATAAGGCAAACCGTCTCTAAGATGAAAAGTGCCATGACTGTTAACATTTTATCGGCAGTGTACAAGTTCCTGCACGATTCTCTGGGTTTGACTTTACAGAGACATCTTAGTGCCTGCCCTCTTCTGTAATATCAATACACAAGAGAGAAGGGATGAGTTGCATGCTCCCCAAAAAGATATTCCATAACGTAGTCGAGATTCAATAAGCGCATGGTAAACGGTATTTGCAACATGGAAACCCAACTCATTTGAAACCACTCTAACTGCATAACATCCGGAGGAGATCTTACTCTTGAGTTGTTTAAGGTCTTCATCAAATTTCAGCCTATTATCAATGAATACACCGAGAAATTTTGTGTTTAATTTATTTTGTAATATGGCAGCGTCTATGGAAATTTCATCAAGCGAACATTTGAATGATATTATATTCGTTTTGGGTGCATTGAGAGAGAGTAAATTTGCATCGCACCAGCTGGTCACCTTCTTCAAGTCTGATATTATTTTATTTAGCTCCTCTGAGTTTTTTTCTTTTCACGATATTGTAGTATTATCCGCGAATAGAGTGACTACCAGATATGTTAATCATAGAGATGTCATTCATATATAGCAGAAACAGAATAGGGCCTAACACAGAATCCTATGGTACACCATATTCAATGGCCCTTTTCTCCGAGAGTTCTGTTGTCTTCACCATTTGACTTCGACCTGAAAAGTACGATTCAAACCAAGTGTTCGTTACACCTCTACATCCATATTTATGAAGTTTTTTTAGTAAAATTTTCAAGAGGAAAATGATCACTTTTTGATATTACTCTTGAAGATGATCACTTGGTGATTGAAACACGTGTCGAGGTGCTAAAATAACGGTTTGGTGTTGGAAAAAACTCCTAATATTCATTACTACACTGAAGGTTCCACACAGAGCATCACAAAATACATAGATAGATGATAGATAAAACAGTATAGTGAAGCTGTGCATACATACAATTTAATAACTTCAGAATATTTCAAATTATGAATCATAATGAAAGCATCAAGAGATGATTTGGGACTGACTCTTGATGATTGCTAAAATAATTGTATATTCCACACATTTTGACAAGACACCAAAAAAATCTCCTTGTATCTGTGTATCTGTAAATATTCTTATTCCCAAAAAAAATGGCAGCAGTCCGCAGCTAATTTAGATGACAAACTCCGCAATGTTGAAGATATTGACGAAGCAACACTGCTCAGAGAGTGGGATTTCGACAAGTTTTTTCCAGTGAGAGTCGCCAATATTCAGTCTTCCACGTCTACATCCAACAGTTCTGAAAAAAAAAGTGATGAAAATGACATGAAACAAGGACACAGGAGAATGGAGAGCGACTCAAAAATTTCAAATCCCTTCTTCAGAGGTTTCCGTAGAGAAAATTCAGATTTTTTCCCCATGAGTTCAAGACATTCGGCTATATATATTGACAAAAATGCCAGATCGAGCGGTATATTCAGTAACAGAAGGGGCTCTGATGTTGGAATGTCAAAAAAGACAAGTGGGGAGCCTATATTGATGGATTATATTAAGAAAACTGATTCATTAGTAAGCTCCACTTCTAAAAAAAAGACTGATGTTGATCTTGGCCGATCCGAAAAAAAAGAAGGTAGTTTATTGAAGAATTTTATTCGTCCTAGACGTGAAAAAACTGAGTCTGATATAGTACTGAGACACTCGGAAGCCAGGCGAAGTATAAGAGAAACTCTGGAGGCTCGTAGAAAAGAAATAGAATCTCAGTTTTGCAAAGAAGCTGATAGTATGCGAAGGCATAGTTCAAAACCTATTGAAATAAGTTCTTTGAATATATCGGATATCTCGAATACATCGACTGGTTCGAATTCTACTGCAGGGGATGAATTTTCTTTCATTCAGGTAATTTTTGGTTTTTTTTCCGGGTATTTGATCCGTGTATGTGATATTATCTCTAATTTCACCGACGTTTCGACAAAATCTCATTTGTCATTATCTAGGTGTGCTGTTACGTGTTCAGAAGTTTGTTGATCCTGCTCAACTCACTTCTTACTATACTGGTAAAACGGTATTCGTTACGTGTTCAGAGGTAGAGTGTCCATAAACTCTACTACCTACTACTTACATGTTGTTGAGTTTTACCTGAGTTCTTCTTCTTCTTAGTTGACCTCATCTTCCCGTTAAGGTATCGAATATGAAATCTGAAGTTTTCACGGATAGGAATCCGTGAAAACGGATAGGAATCCGTTACCTTAACGGGGAGATGAGGTCAACTAAGAAGAAGAAGAACTCTGGTAAAACTCAACAACATGATTGCCTCATCATCAGAACCGGGCATGGTCTCTTCAGAACGGTGTGAACCGTCTGAGTATCACGACCAAACCCCCCTCCCCATGTCCCTTCCCGGGTTGAGTGCCCTGAAGTAGAAGCTTCCCCCCCAGCTAGTTAGCGAGGAGAACCTAATACCCCAATCCATCCACCCCAAGCGGTCTTCAACTTACTGATGGGCACTTCAGCATGATTGACATCTGACCTCTTTTGGTCGAAAGTCAGCCTTTAGGTGCTATTCTTTCGCGATCGATTATATGTTTTGTCGTGACTATTCTTAACTGAATTTTTGAATGGGGGCCCTCGAAAACGAACCGGCGGCTATTGTTATTAGCGTCTAGCAAACGTCAGTGAATCTGAGGAGGAGTGAATCGCGGCAGAGTTGTTCTGCGTTGAACCTACCTGAAAGAGAGTTAGTCTGATTAGTGCTATGCTTACCTGAGTCTCCTGCCGGCGACTCGTGGGGGTGCTTGGTCGGCCTCGGGTATTTATCCCTTTCTTGGAATCTGGGGTCATCCATATTCAACGCATCGTGTAGATCGCGTAGCGCTGGGTTGTTGTGCGATCTGATTTTCTGCGTGTTCTCTCATATACACGTCCACATATTGCGTGTCCAGGTCTAGGTCTCTGTATATAAATCTGTTGGGAATGTAGTACGGTGCGTTTACGACGGCCCTTACGCTCGCGTTCATAAACGACTGTATCTTCTTCCTGTATGTCTGTGCGCACTGGCCCCAGGCAGTGCAGGCATACAGTATTATGGACATGAGAACGGTTTTGATCATCAGCAACTTCACTTTCAACCCCATGTTGCTTCTGCGTCCTATGATAGGTGCCAGGCATTTTCTGGCATGTCTAGCCATTCCGATTCTCTACCGTACGTGAGACTGAAATGTTAATTTCCTGTCTAAGATGACCCCCAGGTATGTCGCTTTGTTGGTCCACAAAATCTCTTTTCCGTTAGAGGTGACGTTGCCTTCCGGTTGTACAAACCTGCGAGTGAACAGTATCGCCTGACTCTTGTCAGGGTTTATACTGATCTTCCACAGGTTGGCCCACTCCTCTAATCTGTCTGCCTGTTGCTGCAAGTACCTCGTGACATGCGCTTGGCTCGTGAATCTCGCCAGCAGGGCCGTATCGTCCGCGTAGAGCGCCAATTTGTTGAAGTTGTTCTCTGGCTTGGGCACGTCCGCTATGTATACAGAGAAGAGGTGTGGCGAAAGTACTGCTCCTTGCGGAACCCCTGCTTCCAGTAGTCGAATTGTTGATAGTTCGTCTCCTACTCTGCAACGGCATCGCCTGTCAGCTAGAAAAGACTGAATTAATTTTACTATTGGTTTTGAATATCCAAAATCGCTCATCTTGGCCAGTAGTCCGTCATGCCAAACTCTGTCGAACGCCTTGGAGACGTCTTAGAAGATAGCTCCGGTGTTGTATCCTTTGCCGAGGTTGAAGCCTTCGGTCGCGAAGTCTACTACCCTCAGAACTTGTAGCTCTGTCGAAGGTTCTGATCTAAAACCGAATTGTTCATCCGGGAGGATTCCTGGCTCTCTGGTTTGGTCTTCGCGTCTCTTCAAGATGACACGCTCAGCCACTTTGATTATGGAAGGAAGTAAGCTAATTGGCCTGTGATTGTCTGGGAACAGGTGGTTCTTGGGCTTCGGGATGAGGATTACCATTGCCTCTTTGAACGGGTACGGGAAGTGCTGCAATCTGAGTATAGCGTTTATGATGTTTGTTATGGCTGCTATACCCTTGCGCGGTAGTACTTTCAGTCCGGGCCTGGTGCTTTCCGAGTGGATAGATGTCTTAGGATTTCTTTCACTTCCTCGGGAGATGTCGGGGCCAGGAGTTGCGCGTTGTCCGTTCGTTGTCTTAGCCTTCGTACCGTTCATTTTCACCTGTCTCTCTATTTCGTCTACCTCGTCCGTGAATGGGACGTCGTTCTCTCTGCATTGCCTTTCGAAGTTGTTCGCGAATGCGTCCGCCTTCCTGGTCAGTGTAGACGATTCCTTGCTCGCCGTGTATTGGCGGGCATGGCTGTCGAGGTCCATTCCTGAGTACTTTCTGCATTCTCCATGCAGACTGGTCCTCAGTGTTCAGTTCTTCCAGACGAGTGGTCCATTGTCTTTCTCGGATAGCTCTCAGTTCTTCTTTCCTGTTGGATCCTTGCATGCACCTTTTATCCATAGGTGCGTGTGTCCTTTGGTATTGTCTTTTTAGGCGTCTTCGTATTCTGATCAGTTCCATCGTTTCTGGTGGGAGCTGCTCTTGGAAGTTGAAGCGTGTTGCTGGGACTTCCCGTGCGCTTCTTTCCATCGTTTGGATGATCGCCTGTTGCAGCTGGTGTGTGGCGTCCTCCAGATCTGTTCTTGTTTCGATGCGCAGTATCTCACCCATCGTGTATGGCGCGCTGGTATCTCATCCAGTCGATGACTCGCTTTGTTGAGGTGTCTGTTTCCATTTCACCTCTTCCTATTGTAAGTTTGGGTTGTAGTCTGACGAACCTTCGTCTAGTACTTCCATCTCCGTAGTTTCGATGTTCTGCACTAGTGCGATGTCAAGTATGTCTGGGACTTGATCTTCTCGCGGGTAGTGTGTTGGTGTGTTCGGTGCTATTACCGCGATATCCTCGAATTCTTCTAGTATTCTGACTAGGTCTCTGCCTCAAATTTCCGTACCTACAGTTCCAATCTCGCGGCGCCCCCTGGCCTGTCTGTCCTATATACATTGTATCCTGGGATTCGGTAGCTCTTTTCGCTCCTTAACCTTGTCTCCTGCAGTGCCATGACGTCTATATCTAGACGCGATAGCAGCTCCAGTAGCTCGTTTCGCCTGTCTGTGGCACCGTTTATGTTCCACGATCCTATTAATTGTTCCGGGATTCGTGCAGGCATTATTGTCTCCCGGGTGATTGAATTAGTGCAGCTAATGCCGCTTGCGCGATCTTTTGCTGCTCCGTCGTGAGCTTGCTCAGAACTTTGATTAGTTCATTGCCGCTGTCCGATTCCTTTTTTTTGTGGAATCGTCTTTTTGGCAGATGACTGTTGTTGTTGTTTAGACCTGTGTCTGTCGGCTTCTCTGTTCCATGCTGATGTCCTCGGCCTCGGGAACATTTTACAGCCTCGGTAACTTGCCGGGTAAGCTTCCAGGCAGTTCGCGCACTTCGCTGGCGTGTCTATGGAACGCCGTTTTACTTTTTATTGTCACAAATATTCATTCCTCAATTTATTCAACTAACAATTTATTTGTTTGAATTTAATTGACTCATGCATTTGTTCGACACATTAAAAACGATTGTTTGCAAAATTTGTTCTATTTTAAATGACATTGGTTGGTACCACTTCTCTTTCTTGTGGGGTTGGTGCCGCTTCTCCAGCGGTTGTCCTCTCTGGTGTTTTTATTTCTAGGGTTGGTACCATTTGTTCAATGTAGCGTTCAATGGATGTGTAGATCATGCATGATCTACATGATCATGTATAGAGTTACTCATTTTCGAATTGATTACTTCCTTCCTTTCTTTGGAAGATTCCCAAGTTTTTTTGTATCAAGATGGAGTATTATAAAGTCAAAAACTTTCTTTTCCAAAAATTAATCACTCCTAAAAATATAACCCCTTCAATTCAAACTATGTTTGGTATTCCTCATAAATGTAAAAAGTTAGAATTATATTCAGATAGGTATCGTTTGTTCATGTAATCCATGATGATAAATTTCATTATTAGATTAGAGATTTTCAGATTCAAGGGATCAAGTTCCACAAGTTAGTTCAATGAAACTTCTTCTGTAATTAAAACTGAATTGAAACTCCAAATATTTTTGTATGCTTTAAATCAATTAAATAATTTGAAACTGTTGAACCAATAATAATAGGTATTTTATGATGCTCCACTTAATTGATTTTTAATTATTATTTCACTTCTCTTGCACTTTGAAAATATTTTCAAGTTTATCTCGAGGTTTTCGTTCATGAATTTACTCCTGCCTATAGAGCAATTTATGATCGTATGAATAGAAAACTTATATTGCTTGTAATTTGTCATAATTTCCAGACTATATTCTTACTCTATTTGAAAGCAGGCTAAACAAAGTTTTCTCTCAAAGAAATTTCGGAACGATACAGAGAACGACGTCTATTTATGACGATTCTGGATGAGCTTTGGTGATATCATTATACTAACATTTTATCAACAACCATGATAGCACCATCGGCGCTGCATGTACTCAGAGTACACTATTCACTTTGCTTTATATGAAATAGAGGTGTACTTTGTTGTCTCTTGACGCACCTTTCAAAATATGTTTTCAATAGATTCATTTCACGCCAGAGGTTCCAAATTCCACTTATCAGCTTTAACATAGTTATCAATAGCTAGTGAAAGTTTACACTCTTTGGATTATTGACAGATTGCAAACAAAATTAAACATAAACATCATTATTCGAAATGTGAATTTCAGAAATGAAGTCAAGTGGAAAAACGTCACTGAAAGGTTTTTATTTCAATTTGAGAAAATCCTAGTTTTTGCCAGTTATGAAACCAAATTAAAGTATCATGACAAACTATAACATTTAT